TTATTCACAAAAGTCTTCATTTCTACGGGACTAGATATTCGGGAACACAGTGAAACGGGCAAAACATTCAACAATCATTCTTGGTCAAAAGTGAAATACACCAGGTACATAATAAGATGGGAAGTACATTGTATGTACACGGATTTCGAATAAGAAAACAAACAAAAGATTAAAAAGTGAAATATAATTCTATCGGAACAGATTTATCCAAAAATCATTACATTTTTACGGTCGCCATTACATCTGAGGATGTTCTGCTAACTCCGTGGTTTTAGCTTTTGAATGCTTTGCTAGAATGTTTAATTTCCTTACATATTTCAGATACCCTGGTTGAATTTAATATGCACTCTTTTCACAAGATAACAAATGTATTTAGTTTACTAAATTCCCTTACAAACCTGTAGATTAATTTCCATTCTTTCGTTATCATTCATGAATACGTGTCATGAACTTGTGCATAGTTTGACCAATGTACTTGAGTCAGTAGAAGCAGTCAAACACCGATGTGGTCATAGGCTTTTTCGCCTACTTACGAATGAGCTTCTAATGACACTATATCTCATATTTTCCTGATTTTTGGGAGAAGTAAGTGCATAGGTTTCTGTTTCTTCCTTATGAAAACTTAGCATTGAAAACATATGAAATTTCTTTTCTACTTGAGCTCTCCAAAAACGGGTCCCTGAAATGAATTATCGTTTCCTCTTTAAGCGGGAACATAGATAAAAGGGAATTTTTAGCTTTTAATCTGCTCTTAAAATGAAGGTCATTGGGAAATGAGTAATAATGAAGGTATAGCTCCCAAATTTCCTGTTTTCACCATATATATATATATATATATATATATATATATATATATATATATATATATGAAGTCTGTTGATTGTTCCTGATAAAGAAGCTATTTCAAAGCTTTTCATATAGAAGTCAGGTAAGAGGAATCCTAGAAAAGACCCCAAGGCTATGAAATCCATCTCCAGTTTATTTTATTGTCACTGTATGTTGGTGGTAGATCGTTTCTTAGGTGATTTGGAATAGCATGTCTTTGTTATGGGGATGATTAAATTAAACCATAAAAAAGGTTTCTGTTTGCAGTACATATCCAGTGAGAAGGTGACATTAGGAGAAATCATTCCTTTCTTTGACAAACTGGGAATACTAACTAGAATCTTTATGAAAATACGAGATTCATATCAACAGGCTACTATGGACCCATTGGTAAAGAAGAAAAAGATATTCAAAGCGCTCCTTTTTAATTTATTGATATGCCTAATACAAAGACAGTAAGTATTCCTAATACAAACAGTGCCTCAAATGACTTTTCCCCTTGAAAATCGTTTGCACCTATACGGAAGAAAATAAAAGTTCAGGTTTCTAATACTATATCATATTTCGATAAACGATGGCCAGGGAATAAATTTTATCGGACGTGAACAAATGATCTTGTTGTTCGCAAACTGGAACTTCTGGGATTTGGGAAAACTGATCTCAAATCTGTGATCATGGCAACATTTTATTCCAATAAAATTCATTCTGCTTCGAGGTTAATTGCAATAAAGTTGATTATCTCTTTTGAACTCAGCTAACTAATTTAAGTATTTAATGAAATGCAGACTTCAACTAGGTGATCAATAACATTTCCACTTCATCTGAAATCATTCTAAGTCCATGACTGAGAAAAAATCTAGACTGAAGCATTGGTAAATTGAAATACATATAATACATATCTGGAAATATGGTTACCGTAGGAAGATCAGCACCTTCATCAAGTTGACATAAACGGAAGATTGCAAGTTTATAGAAATGAGCCTGAACAAACTACCTTCTGATGAGCAGTACATTTTTTTCGAAAATGCGACTTCCCAGTTGCGAAGACAACACCAAACCTTAGGTGGTATTGGTTGTACAGAGCTTGTGATGAAGATGCAACGAATCGTCTAAAATCATGAAATTTCGACAGATTCCATATAATGACGCAACTGCCCTACTGCTACGCGTTAACGGCAACTTTAGCCGATGGAAGCAGTCATTTGTGATGTGTCACAGGATTGAAAACAAACGTTCACTACCTCTTGTGGCTACTTGAGTTTATGCAAATCCATTGACTGGGTTTTCCCTCTTCCTGATGTCTGAACGGCGAATATTAGCATAGATTTACTGAACCACTCCGACTGACTGGTAGATGCCCGTCAATGACGACTGATGGATGGCAAGATGAAGCTATCTATTGGTGCAACCACCTACATAAGCATGAGTTTAGTCTTCGCTGATAGGAAGCCCTCAGTCGACTTTCTTATCAGACAGTTTTAGATGGGTATCTCACGTTGAGACAACTAAAGTGTTCTATACTATGCACAACCATCAATGTAATGCATCACATGGAAACTACTTAACAAACTGTGGCATTCAAAGTATACCACCCAGCTATCGATATGTAAAGAATGAGTCAGAAAGAATAATCCGATCTTATGCACGAACTCCACGTGATTCGAACTGGAAATAGCCAGTGGGCATCGCCACTGCATGTATTACCACAAGAAATAAAGATTGTTGGCAACTGATTGGTGATTAACGACGGCTTGGCACCGAAACAATGACAGGATGTTTCCCAATACTTGATATTTTTGATCAAAATGTGACTTTGTGTTCCACGAACATACTTTAGATACATGTGACAGCAGAAGAAAACCTAAAAACTGCCATTATGACAGTTTCTGAGTTACTTTCGTTTTTGGGCAAGAATTTCGGTCTCCAGAATATAGAACGATAACTCCGGTGCCGTATGCATGAGGTCCTGTTTGGTTTCGATCTTGTTGATGTTAACATCGGTGACTGTCTCTTGTGAGTTTAGTTAAAAGTTAAAACGTCGCCTCATATTCAACGAGCAGAAAGTGTATGGTTTCACAGTAGACATCCTTAGGCACTATTGGCAACAATTGACAACAATCAATGACAGCTACGTTGGTGGCTATTCTGGACTTCCTAGAACCGAACACTGTGAACAAACTTCAGAACGTCGGCCGCATTACAAATTATTGTCGAAGACTTATTCCTAAGTGTGCCTGCCTCTCTTTTGAGATAACTGATAGACATGCTTCTTAGGAGTAGAGAGTGTGCAAATTTGGACACTGGTTAAACTTGCCTTTTCTGAGTAAGGGCAAGGAAACCATCACAAACACAATCATTCTGACGCATCATAACCCCAATGTTTCTTCAAGTAATGCTGTTCATGCATTTGACTCAGTGACCACAGTTGTTTTGAAACAGTTGATCGACAAACAGTGGTAGCCACCAGCTTTTCCTAGTGGCAGCTGAAAAAAGTTGAAACAAGCTACAGCATATTTCCTAGTAGACTCCAGGCCATGAACATTTGCGGATGCAATTTTTGACATTCCATTGAAGATGGTGACTTTATGATCTCAACAGACCCTATACCGAGTACTTTTCCCCAACTTAGCACTGGATCAACATTCGGCACTCCAGTTACGACAACTGGACTATGTTTTCCTTTCAAAAATCTATCACTTATCTGAAGCCAATAACTCCCTAGATAATAAATTGTGTTCAGTATGTTCGATCACGCGTATCGAGGGTATTGATCTTGCTCACTTGACTCATCTTCCAAAATGAAGGTTCTCAGCCGAAATCGTGAGTTGACGTTCATAACCCTCCAGCAACAAATACTTTCAACAGGATGAGTTAATATTACAATTTTAAGCGGTAAATCTTCTAATCAACCACACCTGATATACCGAAGAGATTCTGAAGCATCATTTTGCTTAACCTGTGTGATTTAGTCCTACAAACCATCATCAGGCTTATCTCAATGAGTTTCTGCTTGCCTGAGATGAAGGGGGACATTAAGTAATGGGTTCGACCACGCGTGACCGGTCAGAAATGTAAAATTACCCAGCACATGGGAAGCTCTCTAGGTCCTTTCCTAGTGCCACATGTTCATTTGGATCAAATCTAAATAGATACTATGGTACCCCTGTGAGAATCTTATCTTTTAAGTGGTGATTTTGAATAGAATATCTTTTTTATGGGATGTAACATGTCCCTACAGAAAACAAATGGTTTCTGTTTCCGGAACTTTTTAGCGAGAAAGGCGATATCCGGATGATTCTTCTTCTTCACTTACTCTAATCCTTGTATAAATTGCAAAATTTGCATGCAATATGCGGTCTGCGCTTTAAAAGCACCTTCTTCAACAGTCTAATCATAATGGTATTTCACCGTTAACGGTGATACTTTATGCTACATAACTTTATCGGTCCAAATATCTCGAAAAGCTACTGTGTGATTTAACGGCAGAAAGAAATGATTGCATTTTAAACCTATTGCAGCAAAAACCCTTTTGTGTACACTGTGGGTGGACCGTATAATCTTCTGTTGATTGGGTAACAGCAGATCACAAAAATAACATCTGCTCTTTTCCTTCAACTTCCAGCCACAAAATTAAATTTTATTAGTTTCGGTTGTTTTTTTATTTTCTGTGAATCTAGCACTGATATGTGATCATTCTACGTATGTGACACTATCCTAACATTATTCACAAAGGTTTGTCATATGGTGAATCCATAAGATTTCGTACATTGATACTATGCTTACATTTTCTACTTTATCCACTCTATAGGTGTTGTGATGATTGGATGAGTAAAACGCCTGCGATGCCTCAGCGTATTAACTTCCAAGCTTTGCCTAGATACGAAAGGCTGGGTAGAACAAAAGATTTATCGGTGCTTTGATTTTATTAAGTCGTTATTTCAATAATTTTATTAGGTCAAGAACTATAGCATCGCCTCATTTACCAGAGGAAAGGAGGTTTCAAACATGTTTTTATCTTACTTCAATACATGTTTCATTCTTCAGTTCTTCTAAGCTCCATAATTTCTGGTGATCAGTTAATTATGAAAAATTACTTCAAACTTTTTCTTTAGAACTAATTACCTACTTACATTTATCTGTCTTTTTACTCCTGAAATTAAACTGGAACAATGAAGTTACATATTGCAGCTTCAAATGGATATGAAGAAGTTACTTTATTTCTGTTGAAACGAGGTGCGAAAATTGACTTACCAGATAAAGATGGATGGCAAGCTATACACATCGCAGCCTGTTGGTGTCATGTAAGTGATTTGCATTTTAATTCGATTCTGGTTTACGTATGTGAATCACCTTGCTTGTGAGTAGGTTGATTTTTTTACACCTGCCATGTATCCATGTACACCATAAGCCTCTCATTGAAAACAATAGTGTTGTTTTCATGTCCTCGTTGAATGCCTGTTTTGATTTAATTTAGGTTTATGAACATTAAATTTAATTCATAAATGCTTTCAATGTGTGATGAATGACGTTCAAGCTGGTTGATGTTTCAATGGGAATTACTGAGTAACTATTAGAAACAGTTGGAAACCCTAAGTTCCACTAGGAACTCGAAGGACAGATAATACTATAAAAATAATTAGGAACCACAAAGTATTGAGCTGCTGTTTTGATCCTATCTTGTGTCTCATCAGCCGTATTCCACTTGTGGTTGATACAGGATTGAATGCAGAAAAAAAGTTTCCAGGTCTTTCATGATGACCGTCTGCAACCACACTAAACATTGAAATTGGCTGCTTTAGAATTAAGCAGTAAGCGCGATAACGCACTGAGTTTATCATTTTGAGTTTGATCTTTTCAAATGAATGCAGAAAAAGGTATTTTTAAAACTTATTTTGTAATATGAAGCTATTTAAGCGTAAAACTACGCGACTTGTCTTTCATATACCTAACTTGAATCGAACATTTATGCTTGTGATGTACGATACGTAATTCATTGAATCACTAAACTAGTTGGTCGCTGGAGATTAACTAATTACATGATTGCTGACCGATTTGCAACGTTTACTGATGGTGATTCAGTGAAGTTAGTGGTGAGGATATCACCAAGCCTTCTGATGAAACACCCACAACGAAATGTTAAAGTTAGGAGCATACCAAACTACCATTCTACTCATTTTTTTATTGATCATTTTGCTGTGTGAGATCACGAAGCTAAATGATTTATCATCCTAGTGCCCTTTGATTAGTTTTAGATATTCGAAGACAATCAACTAACTAAGACACTGGGAAACACTGAATTATTGTTGTACACTGAAAACTGTTGCATTTTTATTTTCTCCTTCGATCTCAACACTAGCTTATTTAGAAAGTAAAGACGTTGTAAGAGAAGGAAAAATGATACATTTTTACACGACTCAGAGAATTTATCTAACGGTGTGTTTACATGAAAATGAATTAATAATAAAATAAATACACTAATGACCAACAAAAGATAATGTGACGAAGAAAAATTTCTTGTCGCTGATTCAAGAGCCAGACTATCTTCTCGAACCATAACATAACGAATGAATCCTCCTATATACTGGAATCATTCATATATATGCATAACTTCGCGTATATATGCACATATATTCATACAACAAGTGGCCTTACTGACTAGATTTCTTCACAGAGTTGTGTATTCCTGTCGTTCGTTGCAGTCTAGTAACATTAAATTATTCGGAAGAAGAATAATTTGAACGAACAATTGTTGTCAATATCTTCGTCTTCAGGATCTACGGTTGTCAATCCACGAGAATAGGTGAAATATAGTAGCCAAATAAAGTAAGGTATGATGTAAAACTATTTCAATATCGAAACAGTCAGTGTTATGGGTGAATGGAGATTAAATCAAATGGAATGGTGGGATTGTTATAAGTCTAGTGTTGTTAGTTGTGCAATGAAATCAATATTGACAGAACAATTACGAAATAAGAAAGTAAAATCTAGAGATAGTGGTTCACTTGTATATTTCTACCTGGAGTATGAATGTGTATATATTTGCTTACTAAGACTCAAATATTCTTTATGTAACAATGAGTTATATTCAAGTTGGGTATAAAAAACCATGTGAATGCAATAGCGGAATAAAAAATGTACAATGTTACCTACGGGCTGTAAATGACTGCTGGTAATATTATGAATAAATAAGGGCATAAAAGGAATAACACATGGAAATAAATGTTAATCAACAAAACACAAGCGGCTTAGTAAAAGAATGAGATGAGATGAAACGAGAGGTTAAAATGTGAAATTTGTGGTAGAATTAAATTATTAATCAACTGATCAGTATATCAAGACTCAATTTAGTTGCCAGTTAGTTTTCATTACAAAGTGATATCAATTTAAGTTGGAGGTTACCGATTCCAAGTTGGCATTCATTTTGAAGTGACATCAGTTAGAGAACCATCGAAAACGTGGGAGCCCTGGACAGCTGACTCGGGCTAATGTGGTACTCCTCAGCAGTGTGCAGACATGATCCCGCTAGGTATCTAACCCAAGACCTTCAGGTTCCCCGGCCACCGCGTCACCACTCAGTGACTCAGTCGAAATTGCTCTCCAACCAATGTCATTCCGTGATGAATAACAAACTGATATTAGTCGTGGAACTGCCGAAAACTACAAGAAACGGAATGTTTGCCTGCAACATGGCCTATAGGATAAAATGAGGTAACCGATTGGGATGAAATATATTAGTAGACAGAGATAAACTCAACACCGGAGGATAATTTCTCCGCTTTTACTTTTCTGTATATCTGAACGATAGAAGCGTTTTCAAACACAAACATACCTCTTATTCATTGCCACGACAAACTAGTGAGTAAACACGTAATCTTGTTACTATATTTTGTTACACTATCGAAAAATACAGTTTACAGTCTAACTAATTAGTATCGGTAATTGTTACACATGTGTATGATGAAACTGCTAATAGTTTCAGTGAAAACTGTTTATATTCATCAGTTATGAACTGAGTGATTTACGAAGTCTTAGCATTGTCGAATTCGCGCCATGAACGAACATTCACATGATTTATTTTATTAATCCGTAATATGTTTCATGGGTACCGGAGTTAATCAGTTGCTCTACTTCAGTAGGATAACAGAGAGAATAGATGGATCCCGAGACTGAATACAGCATTAAAGCCCGAGCTTTGATTTTGAGAGCGTATAGCACTGCATACTTCTGAGAAACTGAAAACTGTTTATAGATTCGTTGGTTTTCAAAAAACTTCTGGCATAAATATATGACCATATTTCTAATAGTTCGAATATAGTAATTAGTATAGAATATGTTATAAGCTTACATTACTCATGGTTCAAATTACAACTGTCTGAGATTTTGAAACCGAACGAAAAATTAAACAGAAGAATAAAGAAAACTGTTTAGTCATATCTGCATTACCTTGCTGAAGCAAACATCATCTGAGTAATTCAGTTTATAATTGTAAACTATGAATTACATATACTGTCTTTTTCTTTTGTCGTTGTTAATTTTAGCTAGAAGTAGTAGAACTACTTGTTAATTTCGGTGCAGATATAATGGCTGAAACAAAAAATGGTGAGACAGTATTCGATATATGCGAAGACTTTGAAATGCACAATCGACTAGTCGAAATAAAACAGGAAGTGGAAAGAAGAAAATCACGAATAGAAGACTTGCTTAGTCGACCTGGAAAACCACGTGAACTGCTACGTAGACGTAGCAGTACAAATCCCAGAAGGTACGTTTTGGAATCCTGTATTTTCCTTACCAGTAAAATAAGTTATGCACCTATTACGAATCGGGAATAACGATATGCCACAATGGCAGTGTCAGTATTCGACTTCGCATGACTGAAATCCATGTTCTTAAGATCCATGCGTCACTTGTCATCTAGTTCTCTTAACAGGAAAGTTTTAACATCGGAAATAAATGACTATTGAAGAATCAGACTGATTTCTTCCAATGCTTTTAACTCTTTATAATCAATAGGTAAAAACCTTACGGTTATCAACTTGGTTCCTACCAGTGTTATCAATATGGATCAAAAATGTACTGAGTGCTTAACTCATGCATTTTCAATGAAAACAAGCTGAATCTTTGAATCGGTGATGCCAGAGGAGAAGGGCTTTTTCAAAGAAAGCAAGAATTCCTTTTGCATATCTTATATGTAGGATAATTAGGTAGGCGAGTACCCTCAGTGTAAGTGTTAAGGAATTCTGGTATGAAGTATCCAGGCATTCTCGTTGGTTATAGTTTACAAAAGCTTTTAAATAAGCTTCATTTACATAGTAAAATTAAAAAGCTTTTAGGAATTGAATAGTTGAAAGGTCACTCTTATAACCGTTGAAATAAATGGTTAGACTTCTATATTTTGTGAAAAGTTGCCTTTTTAAGCGGGAATAAAAGAAATCTAATTGGTTGTTTCATTCTTTGTTCTTGTGGCCCTTAGAGTCACTCATAACGCTTTCTTTTCCTACTCCTACATTTTCCACCATTTATCAATCAGTACTATAAAGATAAATCATTGATCAAGCTTCTTGTTACCTTTTTATGTTCCGAATGCGTGTGTATTTGAGAAATTCTCATTTCAAGCCTGAGATTGGAAAATATAACTGTTCTCAGTAAATTTGAACTGATTTGTTATATATCGTAGACGAAAGATATTCTGATTGAGTAATTTCTGTTTAGTTGGTTGGATTGCAAAAGCCAACAGAAATTTAATTGCAAACATGTGTATTCCATAAAACATTTTGTCACATTTAAAGACGAAAAGTCGAGATATGTGTGCTTTACATTCATCTATGTGTGTGTTTGTGTGTCGTTAGTATACGGGAAGTGTGCCATAGTTTCTTCGTTATGGTAATTTTCTCCAGTACGTAGCGAAGTAGTCACGAAACAGAAATTACATAAGGCATACTTTTTTAAATGCCTGATTTATAAAGATGGTTTGTTGATATACAATGGAGGCATTTTTCTTCAAAGAAAAATTAAAAATACTCGGAAATGAATGAGTGTCTACACTTTTCTTTCTCATCAGATGGCTTGCTCAAAGTGTAAAATGAAAGTGGTAATTTATCTGGATAGCAGAAAAGAACTGTCCAAATGTTATTGAAAGCTTTTTTATTTGTTGATACCTGTAGTTCTCCGTTGTTATGCTAGACCAAATTGATCAAACGCTGTTGGCATTTGAGGTTTTATGCGGATTTTTCAGTGATGTCTGGATATTTATTTTTGCCAGTCATAGAGATAAATATTCAGGCAGTATCGAGGCATCCGCATAGGATCGCACATGTCAATAGTGATCGGTCAATTCGATCCGGTATAACAACGGAGAATTGCAAGTATCAAAAAAATATTAGTACAAGAGGTGGCTATCGTGCCTCAGTGGCCTGGATTTGAGGTTCCAGTCTCAGTGGGAAAGTTACTACTTCCTGAGGTGCAGGTACACATAGCTGACAAGTCCCAATAAGTCGAAATACGTGTCCTGAATTCCTCTGCTAGCCACAATTGAGTCAATCACTAGAAAAAATCACACTATACAACTCTTCTCTGGCATGTCATGGAAGTTTAAGCGCATACAGTTAACTATCTGTTGACAGAAAGAGGAATAAATTTGTATACTTCCCAACATTCCATCTACACATTCATTCATATGAAGTAACACCAACTTGTACTCCCTGCAGCTATTCTGAACATTCGTTTTCTACTGCATATAGTAATTTTCCTATTTTTTAGTTTGAATTAATTCTACATTAACAAGGAGATATCATTTTTATCCTAGGCAGGTGAAATATTTCTCATCTCTACTTTACACTCAAACCGCTAAATATCAGTTTTTATTGCCTCTTTCATTGACAATAGTCTGTAACAAACTCTGTTCAAGTTAACCATTGATCTGGGTTTGTTCTCTAAGCTTTGATATTTTGTTTCGGACCTTTCATCACAAGCCTTGGTAACATTCTCAGCACTAACTTCATAAAGATATTTATGACAAAATAACGAAGTTCATAGAATACCAAACCATCTTCATCTTAAGCTACAGATCTTTCCCATCATTTGAAATTAACAATTTGAATATAATCTGGTATAAGTTTTTTGTTACAATAAATTAAAGTTAGATATATGCGATACAAATGGCCTAGTTTACTGTGGAACATTGCATACACAAAAATGATCCGACGCATAATCAAGAATTGACATACGGCTTCTCTAAAAGTCACTGGAAGGGAAAGGCTGTATCAGGAGTTACTATGATATCCCCAAACGTTCGGATTCCATTGATGCGGTTTCTGACAAACGGTTCATTTACGACACTACTGTCTCTAAATAGCCAACGAGAGTGTAATTCTAAAATGTTCTTGAACCTTGCTAAGGTTTTTACGTTATTATGTATCATTGATACTTCTTTATCAGTCAGAGTACGGTGAATTGAAATTGTAAACAACTTAATCTTCTGAATATATCTCAGTCAAATGGGATGGGTTTAAAGTATCCCTTTGTGCATAATAATATCAATAATAGTAGTAAAGTAATAATAATAACAGAATACACTCAATAACCGAACGAAGTAATGCAGCCTACATCAGTTGCAGTTGATCTACATTTCCCGAAATATAAATTTCTCTTCTTTTGTTTAAGGATTTTACCGAATCAGATAACTGTATTTGGTCTCGCTGGATCACGACATTGTTTTAATTATTTTAACTTTGTCTCCAGTTAGTCAGAATGTAATCTTTAAGTCCTTTAATTTTGTTTCAGTGCGTCTATACGAAGAACAAGTATGCGGGAGAAGAAAATGATATCTTGGAAGGAAGCTAAACAAGAGGCTGAAATGCGTGGTGTACCTGCAGCATCTGATGAAAAAGATGCTGTGATACCATCAAGTCCCATACCTAACGGTTCCACAGACCGCGCTTTTGAAAAATTTCCACCCTATCCAGAATCTCACGGACCAACAAGTCCAAAAAATATTCATGGTTCCATACGTACTTCACACTCTGGTCATTCATCCAAAGCCCCAAATTCCCAGATATCATCTCCAGTTTTAACTGGTGTATTAACACAGCACGGTACTGCTCGACCAGGCAAAGTACAGCAAGGTGAAACTGTTATCACTATCAACGGCTCATCTCCATCACCTAATCTTCGGAATTCATCTAGAATCAAAGAGAAGGATGTGAGTCTCTCCATTTCGTAGTAAGACTTCATTCGGTTTCATCTTTTCACAATCACCTATACTCATGATGTCTATAGACTTTCTGTTCCTTTTGAATAACAGGAACGGCATTAAGAGCAGATAAAATAAACAGAATGGATATAAATGATTTTGCGGTTGGCATTTTGTTGCTAACCAACCTGCTTATCACTGGGATAGCATCAACTTGTGCTCACTGGTAGAGTGATGTAAATAGCATCAGACGATTGGTATTTTCAAGGTTGAGACAGTTTTGTGTGGTGTTCAAACTGACCAGTTGGACGAGTAACTCACATTTATGTGCTTTCGCTAACCTTTGTTCTCTATGAAGTTCCAATTTTTCATATAACCTTATTCTAAGCGTGAATGTTTCAGCCTTCTGGTCAAACATACATGTAAGTTTATTTTATCATACGTCTAATTCTGAGGCTTTCATCACCAATGTTGTTAGAGTTACTCATAAAAAAGCATATAAGTACCATATATAGCAACATCAAAAGTGACAAGGACGGAATGGTGAGAAATCAGACAAAAAGAATACAAAATATTGAATAAGAATGCAAGGAACACTAAGTCACTGGATGATATGCAGAATAAATAAAATATTTCTAGGTATGGGAATTGCACCATTACCAGTAGTGATTTTTTCCTAGTAAACAATCTTGACTGTTTGCCGTACTTCGCTGCAGGCACTGCATCAAACTAAGCACTTAGCAACACCAACAACCTTCAGATATTATTCGTATAATCTGGTCGTTGAATACTTTCCATACTTGGTATTCACTTGGATTATTCATCTTAAAGTAACTTTTACTTTATTTTAACATCCTGAGATGATGTACATAACAGATGTAACCAATACTCATGTGGTAGGCATTGATTGATATTATGGTGGCATTCTACAAAGTTTAGGCATCTGTGGATGGTTATAAATAACCGGGAAATATTGGATAACTGTTTTAACCCCGGTTTTGAGGTGTTCAGTAGTTCGCAACAACAACGTCTGAAGTAATGTATTTCAATCTTCCGACTAAATGATGACTTTAATGCCTTGTCCGTAGACTGAGTAGTGATGTATTATTCGGTCACCAGTGATCAGTCAATGTGGAGCTTAGAATATCCTTGATTCAGGTTAAATATTGACTACAATCATGTATATAACCATTTTTAAACACATGCGTGCCTCTCATTTCTTCAATAACGCTTTTTGATACTTAATATCTGAAGTTAGAAAGGGAGGAATAAAGCGCATAAACCTTAAATACTCGATCGCTATATATGCTTAGAATTACAGTTGAAAACCTTTAGCTAGGCAGTGCATCCATAGAATCAAATTTAACTAACCATCAGTCAAATGGAGTGTGTGTTAGAACCCTCCTGTATTGATAAAGTAGAAATCTGTGCCATTGTGAACTTCTGAGTCCTGCTACAAACTGTTTAGACGCACCTCAAATGAAATGACTAACACTCCACTAAACTGCTTGAATTTAGCAAAATCGAGTAAATTCTAACCTTTGAATAATATGGAAATCCTACGAAAGATTCTATCTCTCCTGAATGAAGTATTTCTATGCCAAATTGGCAGAAACTTTACAATTGAAAAGGTGGAAACATTTTTCGTTTCTTTTTTGTTTAACAACTTGCTGTTTGACTAACTACATACCTGTTTTATCAGAAAATAGTTTTCTTTTTGAACCGGAATTCGTAAGAAACTTTTGGAGAGCTGTTTTATGCTACTTTAGTAGTCTTTCTTATTGTATACCATCCAGAACTTCCGACTATTATATAACTTTCTTCAGTTTGTACAACGTTTACTTAACCGTGGTGTCTTTGTATTCCTACCAAATGGTCTTCTTTGTGGATAAAGCAACAACGTCAATATTCACTGAGTAACATCCGGTGAATATAATCTCGGAATACTCAGGTTGTTATTATTTTTAGAGCGCTTTACTTTAATATTCGTTTCGTACAGTTGTCGCTTATTGGTTTAGAGACGTGGCTTTCAACTAGTGGGTCGCAGATTTGAAAACCGCTCTACCTACCATGATTTACGGAGCCTAATAATGTCATTAGTCCTCACACAATAGGTGACTTATTGCCTACTGCACAATGCGAACGACTGCTGAGTTCCATAATGTTTACATTTTCGTTCCTATCTTTGAAAAATTTCTTAAGAGGGGGGGTCAAAAATCTGATGGTATTTATGTTATTGTATATAAGCCCTCCGCCTGCTTTTCTCTCAGGTCATTGAATGAATCGCGCATACCTACTGCATATACGGAGTCTCACCTCATCCCTTATTAAGGTATAAACTGTTGGTGATGAGTGAGTATTTCTTCGTCTATCTGTAAAATCAATTGCTCATGTGATTTATTCTACGAATACTCTTCTCCAGTTTTTTCTTTGCTTGTTTAACAACTGTAGATTTTATAATTAAGGAAATATCATACACATTTTAATACTATTTCTCCCTTCTTATTAAATTTTGAAGATCAATCAACCGAAACGAAGCAATCCACCATCTACCTCATATACTGAGTCTAGTCCAATGGGCGTTCATTGTCCGTCTCCTGCTACTCCGCACCGGCCACTTCACGATAAGGAAGTAAGCTTGCATATCTGTACACCGTTTAAATTCATAACGTTAAATCAACACTCTAGTGATAAATTCGCAGTCGGAAAGTTGATGAATAGTTCTTTTCGGGTCGTTTGCTAATTTGATTTGTTCCATCCATTTTTACATAATGAACACATTTAAAGAATATTGTTAAAAAGGCATTGCGAAACGATAGTACAGTAAAAGATAACAGAAAAGGAAACCTGATGAAAAGCCGCTACACATTTTGATTCAGACAATAAAGAGACGGATACCTTTATTTATTGTGATTTTAACTGAGAATTAGAATAATTCTGAGGGTTTTGTTTCACAAAGGCTTCCTTATACCTATTTCAAGTTTCATAAATGTTTCATGAGAATACGTATATATTGGGTGAAAGTATGAAGTTTTCTATAATGTTGCATAGACAAAATACTGACAAATATTCTACATTATCTGTAAGAGTTATTTCTGGCAGTTAGCACTTACACCTTGGTAATGTGCTCAGTTCACAGTACTTAGCGGAATTAACAACCTTAAATCACTAGTTGCTTGGACAGACCTAACCAAATGTACTACTGAGCAGTTAGAAAATGCTCTTTTCGCTAGTCAGATCACAGTGATCAAAGCACTAGACAGCCGCTTTGCTCCCATGGATCTAAGATTATCAGTGGTGTACCGTAACAAATTCAGCTCATGGAACCGAATGGTTCAAATCCATCGAATATGGCTAGTCGTTTTTAAATGTTTTTCAATTTGGACATATTTCATGCACTTAGATACCTTGATAAATTTGAACAAAGCAAGAAGGACGAGATTCGTAGAATAAAATGATATAATTTTTGCCATGAGTATTCCTCAGCTGCGTACAGTCTAAAATTACTATGGTTATTTGCATGTAAGATAATTTTAAACTGCCAAGTCAATAATCGTAAAGTGTACATCAAAATCTTTGCTTATCTATATAATATATAGCAGAACGTTCAACAACTGTACAATGAGAGATTACTTAACACGCAAAGAAATAACATTCATAAGATTGAGTTCAACTCAGTGAACTGAACTCAGTAGGTGAATAAAATAGAGAATCATGTAATTAAAATGAAGCTGAATTGAACTACAGTCACCGTGGAAGTGAAAGATTCACCGTACTCTCCTGTTGTTTACAGAGGTTTAGTTGAAAGTATTTTATGACAGTTGCTTCAGTAAAGTTCAGTAGCTTAAGTACATTCTGTACATTTACTATTTAAAAGCACTGGAAGCATTAACTTAACATCCTGTATCTATTACATATGTACTAATTTCACTGGTTATAATCCTGCTTCCTTTCGGGCGTAAATTCTTTGTAGTATGCTGAGCGAACCAAACTTATGCCCTCCTCTCAGTCCTTCCGACTTACTTGTTACCGCAAGTACACACAAATTCATAAATGTGGTTGGATGTGACATAAGTGGAGTATTTATTCTATTTGGAATGGGTCAGTAAGCATGCGATATAGCATACTGATACAAGTTTGACTTCAGGAAATCTTCCTTTCAGTACTATTTTGATGCAGTGTTTATTCTCCCGAATATTACATCTCCTATGAGTGTAAAATGAATAAAAACGTTACTTGTTTCAACTGTTGGTTATTTAGCTCTTTCAACCTGTTCTTCTCCTTACTTCATAAGAAATATCTCTAAGATGCTTGTCAACGTTGTTTACTTTCTCCCCTAACTTGTTCACAGAACATAAGTTACCCGTTCTGCTGTAAATTGTTATGACTAGCCAATACTTTTAGTTTCCAGGATAGAAACTTTTGTAGTTGTTCGCTACTTTTATTTTTCTGTTGAACTCATCTATCTCTGTTGTCCTACAGGCTCACTAAATGGAGGCCTCGATATTGCCTCATATTTTATTATCATGTAATTTGCTTAGTGGTGGCTAAAAGTGTAGTCCAGGCTATGTGTTTCATCCCTCTAAGGACGAATCAGCTTGATTTACGCACAATCTAGTAGGTGATTTGTTTTCATCCTGACTCATACTGTTTTTATCGGACAGTTATTAACTGCCTAATGTAAGTACTTTGTCTTCTAAAAATTATACATTCGAAAAATGTCTATTTGTCTGCGTCCTTCACCGATTAAAAATTGCGGCTTTTATTTTACTTACCTGTCTTCATTTTCATCACTTCTGTCTGGCATTACTACAGTTTGACCTGTTGAATTACAAACTATGCTAAATTTTAAATAAACAGGATAAAAACAATAATTGTCCTCATTTGAAACTTCATACACATCCACTAGTGTCTTTAAGAAATAGTTTTGGATTTTAGTGTAAAAAGGGATTTATAAGAGAATTCACCTGCATGGTCATTTAGAATTTCAACTTAAGTTGAAAGGTTACAGCTGCAGAATGGGTTATAGTACTTGTTAGAAATAAATCATGTGACATATATCGCATCTAACAACCGCCCTATTCGGCACAATGGATTCACAATAATCCAACCATCTGTACTATGAATATTATTACGAAATCTGATGATAAGCATGAAACATTTAGTGGGAAGCTACCCAACTTACATCATGTACTTCTGAATAAATCAGCAGCAGCTTTAATCAAGTGGAGGTAATCTTTTTGGATAGCTGTCAGCGCCTCGTCTGAATGACGAGGAGTCACTCAGTTGTGTGACTTTAAAGGCCATGCTAGCAACTGATGAAACAGTCAGTTACATTCCCTGATTCTACAGATAAGTACTTTTCCAGAGGAAATATGGAAGCCTGATTGGTTGATCATTTCAGCAGTTGTTAGGATGGTCTTTAAAGTCACCCCATTCAATTGGAAGAAGCGTTGATGCTTAATTGAGTAACTGTTGGAAACTTTGCAAGCTATTCATCTGACATTTAGGATTGATTCGAAAAACACTTACGCTTGAATATGCCGACAATTGAACTAACAGTTAAGTTTTCCGTCATACATGATCAGTCCTTTTAAAGTCATCCTGATTCATCTGATTGTTCATCTAAATGTCATTGCACGTGGATTTCTGCTAGTTAAGAACCATAGAAACTAATTTCTATTCATGTTTTAAAGACAAAATTTCTTTGTTGATCATCAGTTTCTTGCATAAATTGTTTCACTGAAACCTAAAGAAAGCTAATCATTGTTCAACTTGGTTGTTTTAAAATCTGAAGTGAGACTGTGACCTTAATATAAATTTCACTGAATTAATCCGCCTCTTCTAATTTCAATCTCCTGAAAAAATACCCGCATAATTTAATTAAAAAGCAATCTAACCGCTGACATGTTTTAAAACTAATTTCTTTTTATGAAATGGTGAATAGTTGGAGTTTGCTCTGGACACTGAACTCATTCTTCACATGATATATTAAATTCATCTTGATTTCTCTCAAGTATTGCTTCTGCCAATTCATATGTTTGACGAAAAAACAGAGGGTTCTGGAGTAATCAAAAACTAGTGTTTACAAGGTCGTTCGATCTAACATGAAAATCACATGGTTACATGATGCATAAATTAAGATCTGTTTTACAAAAACAACAGCATCAGGTGTGCAATAAACTATGACACTCGTAGTTAATTCAGGTATTGCTCATCAATTTCCCAAAACCCATTTTTTCCCGAAATTAGGCGTAAATTATTTTAATTCTTGTTCACAACACTTGTGAGATCTGAACGTCTGCGTTCGCAAGTCACTTCGGTGTGATTCGAATCTTTTATTGGTTGAGATTAACATTCTATGCCTAGTTGCATAAGTTAGCAGTGGATGTGGTACATCAGGTTAGTCTATTTTGACCGCTTTATTTTATTACCGACTATTATATATATTTTGAGTTGGTGTTCGTTTCTGACTGAAAACAGTTCGAGAACGACTGAAAACCTTGGAGTTTTGGATAGCTATTTCCTCTTAGTATGGGTCTCCATGGAAGTAAGCACACATTTTGTGGTATACACATTTAAGTTGAATAAGGAAAACTCATACAGGCATAATTTTCAGGAAAACATACCAACATGCTGGAGACTCTCCGAAAAAAACACCTATTATTATTTTTTTTATTTGTCTTATGGGTTCCTATTGGAACATAGGGCTTCAGTAGCACAACGCAATTTCATAATCCTCTCTCGTATTTGAACCCGCCGCCACAACTGCCCACAAGCTTCCATTTATTCCTCACACCATCTCCCTATATCACACTCACTGTAAGCCCAGTTCACTCCCTCTTCATTCTATTCTGCATATTTGTTGGGCGATAGGTTCTCGGTTCGTTCGTTGCCAGCCAGCTAGAGTTCCTTGTTGCTTATTCTTATTATTCTGGTCATCTGATCTTCAGTATCGAGCGGACGTAGGTGGCAGCTGTTGATGAGTGTCTGCGGTTTGTTGAAAGTGCTTTTCGTAACTCACCAAGTCTCTTAACCATCACAGAGAAGCACTGACTTTACTGACATTAGTCTTGAAAATACGGATCTTGTTCACGCTTTATGCTGCTGAGTGGAGTTGAGTGGAGTAGATCACCACACTGATTTTACATAAGTGAAAGCCTGTCTTGCTGTCTTTCCGATCCTGGCTTTGACATTCTCATATGTCCCATCGCCACCACTGCCACTGCCACTGCCACCACCTGTAGTTGAAAGGACGCTGTCGTGCCGAGGAATGTAGGTGTAATAGACTACTTCCTTTAGATTTCTCGCGTTGATGGTGATTGGTGCTTGTTGCCGTTGTTGTTGTTGTTGCTCCTGCTGCTGCTGCTGGTTGGGTATCTTCATCACCTCTATCTTCTCTACTTTCCATTGAAGGAAGTCCCGTCCTCCTTCGTTGTCTCACCTCGTCCCTTCTGTCACCTTGTTAGTTTTCACTTGTAGATCTTCGAATCTCAACGACTAGACATTGGACACAAATCATCATCATCATCGACGAAATCCAAATCTTATAGGATATTTTCATCCGCCAAACAGCATATGCCTATCTTCTCACTACTCACAGTTGTCTGTTGCATCATCCAGTCCAGTCCAGTCCAGTCCAATCGACCACAATCAGGAAGATCATCAGTGATAGTAGCAACCTTGTATTACTCCAATCCCCTGTCTTCACTTCAAAGGCATCACTGAGCTTTCCATTGTGAATCACTTGGCACATAGCATATAGCTGTTGAATGAGGTTGATAATGGTTTGTGGCACTAAAACCGTGGTGTTGAAGCAGCTGCCTGTCAAATTACTTCCCGCTCCACGCTGTCGAACACAATTTCAGAGTGGATGAAGTTGAGGTTGAGTTGAGTTGACTGCCATTCGATGCTCTGTTACATGATGATGCGTAACGTAGCGTTGCAATTTGATCTGTACATGATTTGATTTTCCCGAAGCCAGTCAGCCAGCCAACCAGCCAGACTGTTCCCATCGTCATTTTGAATCCAGAGCATTTTCCAGTCTCTCCAGTACTATACGGCTTAATATTATGCTTCGGGTGGACAGAGGTGGAGCATGATTCCTAGCCAGTTCCTGCCAATCCTTAGGTCTCCCTTCTTAGGACATTTTGCAAGGTAGCCCTTCTTCCAATCGGCAGGCAGGTACCTTTCCTTCCTTCCTTGCAAACCTTCTACAATAGTGGTGTGAGCATGTCCGCTGATGTTTCTGCCTCTGTTTCCAGTGCTTGTGCAGGAATTCCATCTGGTCCTTCTGCTTTCCCGGATTTCAGTGACTTTGTGGCGTTCAGGACTTCCACTCTTCAGGGGGAGCTAGTGTTCACTGATAGCTCGGTGGCTGGGCTGCTGGTGATATTTCTGGGCGAGTTACAAGCGACGGTGGTGGTTGACTCAAGAACTTTTCGAAGTGGTCAACCCATCGTTTCATTTCCTTCTCTTCTTTGATGCTAACTAACATGCCTTCACTATCTTTCATTGCTTTCATCTGTGTTCATCTCTCTCCTCCTTGATGGTAACCTTGTTATTTGATATGATGTTGTCAGGTCTCTGTCTCTCCTATCTACCTGCAGCCTGTTCTGCTTCACTTTCAAGTGTGTCGTAGAAATATGCTTTGTCTTTCCACACACTCTTATTCACTTCTTTGTCCAGTGTAGTGTTTTTCTTACAGGTTGTATTCAGTTCCTCTTTTCGTTGTTCATCCTCGCACTCCACACTCCACTCCACTGCACTGCACTGGTTCATCTTCTGTCGCAGCATCTTCCTCTCCCTCTCCCTCCTCTATCAGCGTCCATGTGTCCGTTGAGATCCATTCCTTGTCTTGCCGCCTCTTCTTCCTTCCTAATAAGGTTATGCCGGTTTCCTTCTACATCTCTTCCAAACAGTTCCAGTGTTCTTCGGCGCAGGTTTCTTCAGGTATGCTGCTTGGTGTCTCCCATTTTGTCCTGATGGCTGATGTGAATGAAGATGTCGCCTGTAGTTTCGTCCTTCAGTTCAATTCAGTTCAGTTCAGTTTCTGTTCTGGGTGGTTGTTCAACTTGAACTGTGGTCTATCACCAACTCCCTTGAAGGCTTCCAACTTGATTTTGAAGGTAGGTTCTTTGCACTAGACAGTGAGTGGTATGTTCCCCTTCTTGATCTTTTGTATCCAGTAGTTTGCATCTCCATTTTCTACAGAGTGAAGTGAATTCGATTTAATTGTAAGTGTGTCCATGTGGTGAAATCAAATCCATGTGGCTGCCTTGTGAATATCCTTGTGTTTGTACACACTGCCTCACTGCAATCACCAAATCATTAAGTGTGCAGAGGTCAGCAAACAGTTCTCCATTCTCATTCTTCATTTCACCAAGTGCTTCTCCACGTGTGATGAGTTCTCTTCTTGTGTTGTCTGCTCCCAGTTTGGCTGGTATTCGTGTCACCCCACCCATTAGAATGTTGATGTCGCCATTGCCAACTGGTGTGGGGTCTTGTCCAGTACTGATTGCAGTTGTGTATAGAATTCCTCCTTCTCCAGTATTTGTAGGTGCGTAGCGTAGCACTTAATGATTGTAACTTTGCTTCGTTTCGAGTTGAATCCATCTTGCTGTCATGATGGTGATCCTGCAGGAGGAGATTGGTTCCCACTGTATGAGAGAGAGGGAGAGAGAGAGCCTTCGATGCTCTTCAAGGGGATATCATGATAGCGACTGTGAAACTGAGTGTGCTCGTGGTTGTCGTCTGGGTGATAATATTGGGGTAGATAATTGACTCTCCAGTTGACAGTTTGGAGAGTCGACTTCCATTCCATCTGTAGATTCCTCACAGATCCCTAGTACTCTTGTGCTATATCTTCTCATTTCTTTTGCAATCTGGACAGCCTTGCCAGTCAGTGGACATTCCATGTCGCCATGCTTACTTTTGGTTTGATGGAGAGAAGAGAAGGTAGATAGGCTTATTGGCTTCCCGAAGGCTTTCACCAGCTGGTGTCATTTCGTCTCCACGATTCCAGTGAGGACTGAGTTTATTTTTTGTATCTTTTGTGTGCTTTGAAGTTTGTTTAGTGATTGTATTTGTTATATGGTGTAGGGTTGCTAGCCGTATGTCCAACCTTCCCTCTTTGTCTGGGCTTTGGCCTGACTAGTAAATAGTGAACTAGTAAACTAGGCTGAGTTGACCATGACACGTACTGTTGTGTTCAGCTGAATGAGGTAATTTGTTATTCTCGATGAATATGAAAGAAATAGTTATATCCGTTTTGATAGTCTGCTGGTATTGTTCAAAAGCGATTTTTTTGGACGACCTACTAGCTTTCTTTATTGAACTATTTGAGATAAGCTTACTCAGACGGAGAGGTTTTGTTTGCTAAAGTTACTGTTTTAACTTGAAAAAATTGTGGATTGTGGTAAGACTTGAACTAAGAAGCTCAAGATTGCTGCCACTCTGCGCTAGTAACTGACCTGTGGGACAGCTATTGACCATATTTCGGTCTTATTTCAATCACCACGTGTCTAGTTAGGCTGTTGAATGTTTGACTGATGTATAAATGCCCATTCATCGTTACACGAACTAACCAAACATGCACTGTTATCTCAAACTGAATCGAGTGAAATTAGAGAGGAGGAGCGAAGAGACTGAATGCTAAACCAGTTAAGTTCATTCACCTATCTGATTGAGTTCTGGATTTCTTAAGGGCACAGCACAATTACTTGACGTAGAAATTCTTTATCACTTTTTTAAGCCGTGTTCTCCTTTCGCAGATTGTATCAGCTTTCCAGTTGTACGATTTCGGGTGTTTATCCCACCTAATGACTGTTTAGTGCATTCAATAAGAGTAGTTTAGCTCTAAGCAAGAATTCACAAATATGGAAGCTAATTCATATTCATAAGATGAAACCGACAGTGTAGTAACTATCACTTATTACTTAATTCTTGTGGAAATTTACTGAGTGGTTATCTAAACCATTCTACCAGTGTGTCAGTCCGGTGAATCTTGTGATAACCAATAGTGACCATTATTTTGCTATTGTTGTCTTCCAGTGAAATAAGTTCTGTACACAATTAACTGCTTGTTGGAAGATTAATTAGCCTGGTGGGATCACCACTTTAGAATTAATTAGTAATTGGTCAATGGAATCATTTACTGAAACCAAAAGTTGCATCCACAGAATTACGATGTACATTACTTGTAATCTTTACATATTTTTGAGAATCATAGCGTGGTTATACTGTCATTGACTACATCTTACCTCCATAAACAGATATTCTTTCTCTGAATGCCGATGACATCCCTGTTGTCAAAGCGAAATCTTTCTTAGTACCTGTAACCACTGATGCAGTTACCAAATGGTGTATGGTTACTGAAATGATTTTCTTGTAGAGAAGCTCAAGTTTTGTAGTAACTTGTGCTTTATTCGTTTATATAACACTCATTTTACTTTAAAGAATGCATTATGATTAAATGTACACGTGTAAGTTATAACTTCCATCTACCATGTGACAACTTTTTCTCCGTCTTGCCATACTTATTATCTCATACGCATTTTTCATTACACAACTTTTAATCTTACAATTAGTAATGAAAAATAAAACGATCTCTGTTTCATTTTCAGAGGATTGTAAAGGTTCCCTTAAATATAACACCAAACACAGATGGAATAGGTACACTGACACGAAGATCCCAACAGACAGAATATGGCAGCAAATCCCCACCACCTGGTACTCCAAACATGTCTCCCTATCATCATACCTTAAGTCCTCAACCTCGTCAGTCAAAGGGTAGAACATCAACTGGACTCGATCCTTCTCCAGATCCACCTATTAGTCATCCCAAATCTAAAATGAATAATTATGAAAATAATCAAACATCTCTTCCTCGTCGAAACGGTAGTCAGGTGATTGACTCAACTAACCAAACAGCTCGTGGCGAGAAAAAGTCCTTTACACGGAAGAAAAAACCACTGCCAACGGAACAGAAACCACCAAAAAATGACAACAGAGAAACTGATATCTCTATACATAATGCATATTATGCGTTACCACCGAATAATCAGCCGCAAAACAATCATTTACGTAGTGAAGAACCAACTGATAATCAAAATACTATCCTTCGTTCTCCGAATATAAATCGTAATGATTTCAGACAGTCAAGTAGAGTAAGAGCTAGTTCAGGTCAACAAAATCCATCAGGACAGGTTGTACATGCTACAGCCTCTGTGCCAAGAAGGGAATTAATCAATTATGGAGATGATTTAGGCTCTAGACCGAGTGGTAAATGCTGTGTAATAATGTGATCGAACAGATTATAATATAATATATATAGAGGGGAATATTTCATCTCAGTGATATTTGCATATATAACATTTTTATTCATTACAAATTAATAAGACCTTGTTGAAACTCTGTACATATCTATTCACATTCTCCTGTCTCCTCCCTACTTTTTCGGTTTCTCTTTTGATTTCCTCAATACTTTTTATTTAGTTCATAATTATATAGTCCCATAAGGAAGAAAACAGATTTCCTAATCATTTTGAAGTTTGTTATTCTAAAAGTTCAATGATAAAACAGTATTTTTGATCAAGTGATTTTTATTTCAATGCTGTTCATATACTTCATAATCTTTATTTTCAACAATATAAACAAAATTTTCAGTTTATTCAATTTAACAGAATGTTTCTGCGTTTGTGTGTGTGTATACCCTGCGTTAACCACTCATTGTGTTTCCAAATAACCTACCTGTCCTATTTTACAGCATACCATATGACTGGTTTAACCACAATCAGTAAAGAAGGTAGTAAAATGCTTGGATTACTTTTTCATCAGCTCACATAAATTTTTTGCTGATTTTCTTTTGCGCTGAACCCTTTGTGTACCGTTGAAATGAAAATAATCCTCTTTTTCTACTACTAAATAAAAGAAAAATTGCTGTGGTAAACCTTTATAATGAAACCTTCTGATTCCATGAGTCCGTGTGAGAAATAAAAACAAGAAAGACGTAATCTCTATTCATCTAGTCCATTTGTCGTAGATGTATCCACAGGGCCTTCTGTCTAGAAATCTATATGTTACAGTAGTCATCAGCACCATTAGGTATTTGTTGATAAATGAATACGATGTCACCGTTAATTGAAGTGACCTTATATTCTGGTTAGTAGACTCTAGTAAACTCGACACTCCAGTAATACTCATCAAGAAAACATGCCTGTGGAAAAATGAAAGGAAATAGAGGTCGATTAGCTCGATCTAGTATGGGTATCGGTTAATAACAATTGATTTTCGTTGTACAATAGGTGGCTCGTATCGCCCAGTAACCCGGTTGATAACACTTTGTCGTTTGATGTTACCCGTACAGGGTTCGAGTTTCAGTGGGATCACCATCACTCACTGGGGTGCAGCAGATTCAGCTAACGAGTCCCAAACAGTAGGAAACGCGCCTCCTGGACTCAATCGCTGGCCACCAAATAAACTATAATAGAATGAATATTGAAGCAGTTTTGAGGCATTCGAACAGGAGTTCATCTGCCGACAGAGATTGAGCATTTTGACCAGGCATGGCAGCGAGAGAATAAATCTCGACTTAAGTCATTTACTTCCTTAAGGAATAACTATCAGGTAAATAAACAACCATATGACATTTGGCAACTGCCTCCATAAAGACGCACTAGTTTTCGGTGGCTAAAAGAGTGATAAGCTTTTCAAGGCATATCCGAATATGAAAGTATCGAGACTACAGATCCCTTGATTATTCTAAGACAATATAAAATATTAGATAGAAAACGGCTGCAGTAAAAAGAGTCAGCGTCAGGAATTGGATCGCTAATGAATGCAATCATCTCAGAAAATTTTTCATTATTATATTATTTTTTTATTATTTGTCCTTGGGTTCCTAATGGAATATAGGGAGGGCTTCAGTAGCACGTCTCCATTCCTCTTTGTTCTCTGAAAGCTTTTCAACCTGGCTCCACGACAGCCCACAAGCTCTCATTTCTTCCTCACAATATCTCCTCCATGTCACCCTCTGACGCTCAACTCGTTATTTACCCTCTGGATTCCACTTGAGGGCCTGAAGCGTGATGTCCCCAGTCGGTCTTCTCAGTGTATGCCCAATCCATCTCCACTTCCTTCTACTTATTTGTTGAGTGATAGTTTCTTGGTTGGTTCGTTGCCAGCCAGCCAGAGTTCCTTGTTGCTTATTCTTATTACTCTGGCCATCTAATCTTCAGTATCGAGTCAGCGTAGGCAGTTGTTGATGAATGTCTGTAGTTTGTTGGAAATCCCTTTCTTAACGCGCCAAGTTTCTGAACCATCTAGGAGTACTGACTTGACGTTGGCTTTGGAAATCCAAATCTTGTTCCACATGCTGAGTGGAGTGCAGAAGATCTCCACACTGGTTTCAGGTTAATGAATGCATGTCTTGATCTTCCGATCCTGGCTGGCTTTGACGTCTTCGTCTGTGCCACCGCCACCTGTAGTTGAAACAGTGCTGCCTCGATAGGTGAAGGAGGCTACTTCCTTTAAGTTTCTCCCGTTGATGGTGATTGGAGTTTGTTGTTGGTGGTGGTGTTGTTGGTTGGGTATCTTCATCACCTCTGTCTCCTCTATATTCACCTGAAGTCCCGTCTTCGCTGCCTCGCCTCTTCTGCCAATTTGTTAGTTTTCGCCTGTAGATCTTCAAGTTTGTGTGACATCAGGCACAAGTCATTGGCGAAATCCAAGTCTTCTAGGTTCTTTTCCGCAATCCAGCCAGCATATCCCCTCTTCTCGGTCCCCACTGTTTGCTGCATGATCCAGTTGACCACAATCAGGAATATCATGGGTGATAGTAGGCAACCTTGTTTCACTCCTGTCTTCACTTCAAAAGCATCACTGAGCTTCCCATTGTGAGTTAGTTGGCATGTAGCGTTGTCATGTAGTTGTTGAATGAGGCTGGTAAAGGTTTGTGGTATTCTGTAGTATTGAAGCAGCTTCCAAATTACCTCTCGGTCGACGCTGTCGACGGCCTTTTCAAAGTCGATGAAGTTGAGGTGTAGAGTTGACTGCCATTCTATACTCTGTTCTGTGATGATGCGTAGTGTAGCGTCGCAATTTGGTTCGCACATGATTTGTACTTCCTGAAAGCAGCCAGCCTGCCTGTTCCGGTAGTAGTTTTGAATCCAGTGCATCCTTAAGCCTCTACAGGATGATGCGGCTTAATATTTTGCTTGCTCTGGGTGGACAGGAGAGTGATTCCTCGCCAGTTCTTGCAAACACTGAGGTCTCCCTTCTTCGGCAGTTTGACAAGATAGCCCTTCTTCCCATAAATTGGCAGGTACCTTCCCTTCCTTCCAGACCTTCTGCAATAGTGGTGTGGTGTGAGGGTGTCCGCTGTTGTCTCAGCGTCTGCTCTCAGTGCTTCTGGTGGGATTCCATCTGGTCCTGCTGCTTTCCCACATTTCAGTAGCTTTATGGTGCTCAGGACTTCCACTTTTGTTGTAGGGCCTGTGTTCACTAGTAGTTCTGTGGTTGCAGGTGGTATTTCTGGACGAGTTGCAGGTGATGGTGGTGGTCGATTCAAGAGTTTTTGAAGTGGTCAACCATCGTTTCCTTTGTTTCTCTTCTTCGGTAATTATATCTCCTTCATCATCTTTTATTAGTTTCATCTGCGTTGATCTCTTCACAGACAGCAAGTAACCTGGTTATTTGATACAATGTTGTCAGGTCTCTGTCTCTCTTACCTGCAGCCTGTTCTGCTTCACTTGCCAAGGCTTCGTCGAAGTGTCTTTTGTCTTTCCACTCACTCTTCTTCACTTCTTTGTCCAGTGTAGTGTTTTATACATTGTGCTCAGTTCCTCTTCTCGTTGAGCATCCTTGCACTGGTTTATCTTCTGCTTCACCATCCTCCTCTCCTGCTCTATCAGCTTCCAGGTATCCATCGAGATCCATTCCTTATCTTCTTTCTTATTCCTTCCTAATACGGTTGTTCAGGTTTCTTTCCACACAGCTTTCAAAGACTTCCAGTGTTCTTCCACACAGGTTTCTTCAAGGATGTTCCTCGATATCTCCCATTTTGTCTTGATGGCTGGCTGCCGTGAAGATGTCCCTTGTAGTTTCGTCCTTCAGTTCAGTTTCTGTTCTGGGTGTTGAACTTGAACTGTTGTCCATCACCAGCTTCCTTGAAGGCTTTTGACTTGATTTGGAAGGTTCCTTTGCACTAGACAGTGGTCTGAGCATACATCTGCTCCTCTTCTTGACCTTGTGTCAAGTAGGCTGCGTCTCCACTTTCTTCCCATTGAGATAAAGTCGATCTGATTTTTAGTGTGTCCTGGTGTCTGGTTAAATCCATGTGGCTTTGTGGATATCCTTGTGCTTGAACACAGTGCCTCCAATCACGAAACCGTTGAATGCACAGAAATCTGCAAACAGTTCTCCATTCAGTATGATGTCGTAAAACCGAATTTGTTTGTGGAAATTTTCTTTCGTCTGATGACTGGATTCCTCAACTTTCACTATCTGCTAAAATTGCTTTCTACTTGACAGAATATATGTCACGTTCATTTGAAATCATAGTTCCTTGTATCAAGACAGGATAGAAACTGAAAGCAGTTACCTTTGAAGGGGAACTTGAGCGACCACACATTACAATTAGCATTGTAAGCCTACGTAATGATGAAGTGAAGAAATTCAAGCACAAGACTACAGGTGGTATCATTTGAAAGCTCGAAATGCTAGTTGATTCACTACTTTGGAACATTATGCTCAAACAGTATACCTTGAAAAACCCTCCCATCGTATCTGTAGTACACATTTCGTACACTGCTGGAATCGTCTCTGCTTTCAAGTTCTTCTCAAAGCAAAATTTCAAAAAGTAAAATATTATTTTACTCAAATACCCTAAGTCTTTTGTCTTCATATTCTATTTACAACAACTTAAACAGCTATATAAGCTGACTATAGTTCTCTGAAGTGAAGGTCTTCGACTTAAGAAGCTATTGTATTAACAAGTTATGATCTTTGTTAAATGGTGGGGTAGTCCATGGTAAGCGCTGGACATGGGATCAGTGCTAATTGACACTCGTCAGAAAGGCGTATCTACAATCTGGAGGGAATAGATGACTCCTATGAGATTCAGACCCACGTCTCCCTGCGCCGCAGTCTTAGGTGGGCTTAATATCTGATGAGTTGTAATATCTATGAATAGAGTACTGGATGATGCGAGTTTGAATTTCCTAAAATTCGTCTCCCTTAAGGTAGTAAATACCCCTTGTTAACGGGCGTTGAGTATTATGAAATCAATGTCCATCGACTACTGCCAGTTTCCTTCAACCAACTAATACCAATCAAAAAAGCACCACAACAGTGAATCTTCTAGCTTGATGGCTGATTATCTAAATAATCGATATATTTTCGTTAGCACTTCGGTTTAGACAAGATGAAATCGGTTACTCTCAGTGACAAATCAATGTAGTCTCCATTTTTCTTATGATAACTTCATGTAAAGAATATTAATGATAAGCATAATCATACATTAAGTTCTAAATTACTTTTTACAAAACATTTCCACTTTTATTTACATATGTGATAAACCCTCAGGACTCATACCAAGCACTCAAGCAATAGTTTACTGTTTGACGATACGAATCAGTACTTAGTTAATTGAAATTAATTCACAGCCCAGTTGAACAGTCGACAAAAAATTTGTTGCTCCACTGTCTCCATCTACCTCAAAACTATGGACTAGGTAAATGAAAAAGAAACTGATCACCTTCTTTCAACTTGACAGTAGTGATTTATTATACTATATTATATATATATATATATATATATATATATATATATATATATATATATATATATATATATATATATTATATACTACTGTAACAAAACTTAGAATATGTCAGTCACAAATAAAATGTCAATAGTAGTATTAAAACCAGTCGTAAGATTTAGCTTCATTATTGATAACTTTTTTGAATTATAAAAGACATTCAAATGACACTCCTTTTTAATGACT